AAAAAAAAAAAAAGGGAAAACTAAGGCCCGGGGGAGATGGCTGTTTGCCAAGGTCAGACACAGAGGCAATGGCCAAGAGCAGGATTTGAATCCAGGTTATCTGTCAAGACCCGTGAGGGGGACGGGCTTCATGTCACCTAACGTCCACTTAACGGCGGACAAACATATGGACGCCGGAATGAGTCACAGTGGCCACTGACTGATCCGACTCTGACCATTTTTCTCACCTGCAACCTCCAGTCACCCTGAGATGGAAATAGTACGATAGGCCTCCGGAGTGAAAACGACCAAGCATTTGACTACGCGATCCAGTTGTCGCATGTGTCTTACTTCCCTACATCTGCCATAACAAATTAGCAGAAACCGGGAGTCTTAAAATAGTAGAAATTTCTTCCTTCATGGTTCTAGGAGCCAGAGACAGAAGTCAAGGTGTGGCCGGGTGGTTTCTGTTCGGTTTATTTAGTTTTGAGAGAGAGAGAGAGAGAGAGAGAACGAGCGGAGGAGGGGCAGAGAGAGGAGACACAGAATCCGAAGCAGGCTCCGGGCTCTGAGCCGTCAGCACAGAGCCCAGTGCGAGGCTGGAACCCATGAACCTTGAGACCGTGACCTGAGCCGAAGTGGGACACTTGAGTCACCCAGGTGCCCCTCTGTCTTTTTAAAAAACGATGTTTATTTTTATTTGAGAGAGGGAGAGAGAGAGAGAGAGAAGGGGAGGGGCAGAGAGAAAGGGAGAGAGAATCCCAAGCAGGCTCTGCACTGCCAGCCCAGAGCCCGATGTGGGGCTTGAACTCATGAACTGTGAGATCACGACCTGAGCTGAGATCAAGAGTCGGACGGTTAACTGACTGAGCCCCCCAGGAGCCCCTCTGTCTCTGTCTTCACGTGGCCTTCTTTCCATGTCTGTGTTCATTTCTCTTATAAAAACACCTTCATTGGGTTTGGGACCCACCCCATTCCTAATCCAGGATGATCTTACCTTGGTCCTTACCTTAATTATATCTGCAAAGAACCTATTTCCAAAAAAGGCCATATTCTAAGGTTCCGGGGGGCTGTATCCTGCTCAATCCGGGGCAGCAGGGGAGCAGGACTCTCCCCCCCCCCCCGGGGGCAATGGGGAGCCACAGGTGTGTGAGCAGGGGCAGGATGAGGTCTGACCTACATGTTAGAAATCCCTGCAGCCCCTGTGTCATCCGGGCCTGCCTTCCCTTGCCTGGATGGTACTGTCACCCCCCTTCCCAGCAGTCCCTATGGCAGCCATAGGGCTTCTTAAAACTTAAAAAACAATCATGTCCTTTCATTGCTCAAAGGTACCATCACTCTCAAAACAACACCCTCTCTCCTCACCCCAGCCCACGAGTCCCCATGTGGCCAGCCCCTGTGACTTCGCGTCCCTCCTTACTCCATATCATCCTTACTCACCTACCTCTAGCCGCGGCCTTTTCGCTGCAACTTGAACATTTCCGGATTGTCCCACCGCAGGGCCTTTGCACATGCTGTGCCCTCTGCCTAGAACACCCTTCTCCCGGTTCCTCCCAGGGCCATGTCCTCCTTCCGCAGGTCCCAGCTCCAGTCTCCTGATCTCTCAGCTAATACTCTTTCCCATCCCTGTGTGTCCACCTGCTTGACTTCTCCAAGTTCCTACCACTTCCGGTAACTTCCTATTTGTTCACAGGTTTGTTTTCTCACTACAGGGTGGGTATCTGCCAACACAGCACCGGCAGCAGGAATATAGGGCAAGGTGTGCAGCATACAGGAGGCGCACAAATCCTTAAAGAAGGGAGAGCAGGAAGTGGGACAGAGGACAGCGGAGCCACGATCCTAGTGGGAGGGGCGTCTGGGGAGGAGAGGGGCTGGGTGGTGTTTGGAAAGAGCCTTGCCGGAAGCAGGAGGCCCACAGCCAGGAGCAGTCTCACCCCTGTGCCTCTCTCTCCCCCCCGAGCGTGCTGTCCAGCTGGCGGTGAGACCCAGTCTGGGTGGGGTGACATGAGCTGAGGGTGATAGGGAACCATCAAGGGTACGTGAGCAGGGGCAGGATGACGTCAGACCTGTTGACAGGAGCTCCTGTTCATCCAAGTCATTTTTGCTGGTGTGTTTTCTACTACAAACGTGACTTGTACAGATCGTAGACTGGTCTCAGTTAAAACTTGCAAACCGCTTTAAAAACAACAAAACCCCCAAAACTCAGGTCCTCACAAAACATTTTATTCCCGGAGGGCCCACTCCCCAGTCCTCACTCTGCCGAGGTACCCCCTTCCTCCCTCCCAAGCACAGCTCCGAAGCCTACAAAGTCCAAGCCCCCCGACATCTGCCCAGAGCCAGCAGGGCTGGGGTGGGGGGGTATCACTCTTCTGCTTGGATCTCCCCAATCCAACATACTGGGGTGGGGGCCGGTCTTGGGTCCCCAGAGCTCAGAGACATCCAAGGGCTTGAATCGCCCCGTTCTCTGGGCACCGGGGTGAGCGCGTGTGTTGATCTCGTTCCCGGAATTTGGGGGGAGCACAAATATGGGAGCTGGGCTCTCTCGGGGACTCCAGAAAGTCCGAGCTCTCACAGCCTGAGTCAGACAGCCGTCTGCCTCCTCTGCCCGACATTTCCACCATTAGAGCAGGGAGGGGGTGGTCCCACTCACGGGGCTCTCCAGCCCCTTCTACCATCCGAGGTCAGAGGTGGGCAGAGACCCCGGGGTGTGTGGGGGGGGAGGCAGAGGGAGGGAACAAAACCCCTTTCCCAGCCAGCCAAATACTTCTCACTTCAGCTGCACATGGACCTAGGGTTCCCAACGGACCTTGAACCATGGCTGGAACTCACCTACCATTAAACCACTGTGGCTTTACTACCAAGGAGGGCTTGGCCACCATGGAAGGTCCGTCCCATGATCAAGGTCGGAGCTGGGAAACGGGACCTTGACTCAGAAGTGCTTCTGCAGTTGGCTGCCCTGGGAAGAGATTGTCCCCCTTCAGCTGAGAGGCTAGGGAGGATGACGGAACATGGGTTCGAGGACCGGGTGGGTTTTGCAGGACGTCTAGGAGTTTGCCAGCTAGACTAGTCGCTCATCAAACCCGCCCTGGCGCTCCGCTGTGCCCGGCCCACTTGGGAGAACAGAGCTTTCTGCTTTCCGGGAGGAAGATGCAGCCCCTTCCAGTGGGGGTGGAGACCAGAGCCTAGAGGCTGCGGGCCCTGATCCCACCTCAGTAGACCTGCATCTGCTGGCCACAGGTGAGGTTGGGTCGGCTCAGGGCGTCCCACATGAGTAGCATCTCGTATGGCAAGAAGCGATGGACCAGCAGCAGCTCCCGGTAGAAGCAGGGGTCAAAGGAGGATACGCGGGCCGAGGGAGCCCCAATGCCAGCTGTGCGGATACCGCCGTGTGAGGCGGGCTTCAGACCTTCCTGCTTCAGGCACATGCCCAGGAAGACATCATCGATAGGGAAGAGGTCCAGTGTGGAGGCGGCCCGGCGCAGGGCAGTGGCCGTGAAGCGGGACAGCAGGAAGCCACCCCCCCCACAGTAGGGAGGGTACTGCTCCTCCTGTGTCACCACTGTTGGCACATAGTACTTGCTCCAGGGAACCCGGATGGGGCCCACACTGTGGATCAGTTGCCCCACAAAGAGGTGGCGGTCGGGATTATGGTCCCGCAGGTAGGAGACCATGTTGTCTGTGTGTGCGAAGACGTCATCATCCCCATTGAGCACGAAGCTGGCATTGGTGCACCGAGTCTCCTGCCACTTTAGGAAGAGCACCTGAAGGCGAGGCGGACAGGGCACACGAGCTTGAGGGCTGGGGCAATCAGCTGTGGGTCCCGGCCGGCCGCCCAGCCCAAGGAGCCCAGACGAGGCTGTGTCCCCGGGCCAGCTAGCATGGGTTTGAGGCCCCACCCTGAGCTTCAGTCTCCAACCTTCCGGACAGACCTCATCAGAGGACCTGTCTCCGGGAGTGTTGGGGACCTGTGGAGATGATGCTCAGTAAAGCGCCAATAAGTGCTGGAAAATTGTCACATTTACATTTATTGTAGCTCCTTCTGACTCTGCCTGGCCAAGCACTGCTGGTAAATAGTTACTCGTCTGTCTATTATTTAACATCTACCTTCCCCACCAGACTCTAGGCTTCCCCTGGGGTGGGGGTGGACTGTGTCTCTCCCGTGTTATCTCCCGAGCACCCAGTGTGGGGTCATCGCTTCGTAGGTACTGGATTCAGATTTGTCAAATTGACATTTTTACATGCTTTTGTGTTTTGAATGAAGAACGTGACAGGTTGAGAGGCTCTGGCCCTCTAACCGCCTTAGCTTCAGTTTCCTCCGTAATAACTTTTGCTGCAACGCCAGGCACCACCCTGCCTGGAGTCTCTCCTGCAAGCAGGGGTGATCTTCAACCCCATCTACCGATGAGGAAATAGAGGCTCTGCAGATAAAGTGACTTGGACAAGGTCACACAACAGATACGTAGCAACTTAAGGTCTTGAGCCCAGACCCGTCTGTGCCAACTGTAAGCAGGGACCTACACTGGGTCCCCTTCGACTCCTGGGTAGGTCCTCAGAGCCTCTAATTCTAATCTCATTCTAATTCTGGTCTAGAGAATGTCGGTGATGGTGTGTATCAGAATGCTAGAAGCTCGGAGCTTCCTAGTGGGGCAAGTGAAAAGGGAAGCAGGAAGCATCCTCATAGCTCTCAACGGATAAAGAGGGAATTCTTTGGGTTTCTGGGCCATTTCTGAGGCAGGGACGTGAGGAAGACCAGGTCAAAAGCGGGGGGGATTCCGGGCACACCGAGCCTGGGAGGCTCACCTAAGGCTACTCCTTATCTGGGTCAAGGCAGGGTTCTCTCTACTTCTTGTGGGTTCTGGTCCACCAAAAAGGTCTTTATTGAGCACCCGTGGCACAGACGTGGGCCTCACGGGGAGACAGAACAAGTCAACAAGATGTTCTGTCCAGCGCCCCGAACCCCCGCTCGTCATCTGAACATCTGGCACTGCTCTAGAAGCTTTGTAAATATGATCTCCTGTAATTCTCGTAACAGCCCTGGGAGGGAGGTGGGCAGATCCAAGCAATCCCATTTCCTTGATAACTATGAGGAAACGGAAGCCCCGAGTGGTAAATGATTATCAAGCAAGCAGCAGAGCATGAATTCAAACCTAGGGCATCAGGCTCCGAGAGCCAGCCGGGCTTGTACATCGGGTCACCCTGCCCTTTCCCCCCCCGCCTCCCTTAGCGACTCCGATCGCCGATCGCCGTGAGGGCAGCGAAGAAAGCGGGGAGGGATGGATGGGGACTTCTGGGCCCCTGGGCCCCTCAGAGGAGGCGGTGGTGAGGGGGCAGGGAGGAGGGGGTGGCCCTCATCAGGTGACTCCCCGCGGGCTCACCTGTTTGAGCGTGAGGTTGAAGAAGGAGTCATGGAAGTCCCACTGCAGGATGTCGCCGTGCGCCTGTGCCTCCAGTGCCAGCAGCCGGTTGACCTTGCGAGCCTCCAGGGGGTTAGGGGCCGTGCCCACCAGGAAGAGGCGGCGCAGCGGGGCACCCCGCACCTGGCGCTCGCGGCCCCAAGTGCGCCGCACCAGCTCCCGCCGCTCGTAATTCCTGGGTGAGGATTTGATCACCAGCAGCAGGAAGACGGGCGGTGCGCACTTGCCCAGGGGCACGTCCTGCAGCAGCGGGAAGTCACGGCAGTGCTTGTACAGCAGGAAGTCACGCACCTGCTGTGGCTGCCCCTTGAAGTTGGGCAGGGTGGCCACGGAGGCGTTGGCCCTGCAGGGGGCGGGCGGGGGGCGCGGGGCGGGCCGAGAGG